ATTCCGTTACTCCCCAACACTGAATATAACTTTCCTTCCAGTTCACCCAGCTCAAATGTCTTCAAAAGATTTTTCCCCTGAAATTCTGAACGAGGACTGCAGAAAAGAGGAATTATTGGCTGGAATCACTTGCATTATCTGTACCCAGTCATGTCTAACAATAGAGGAACGACTACTCCTGTTCTGACCTCTAGAGACGTGATCCAGTCTCCTGTAAACTGCGGGGTCAGAGTCGGCTGTAGTGATTCAAGGAATAAGAAATAGATGTGTAAAGACGGAGCTTCAGACATCCGTCTGTACTAAGAGGCCTGGAATAACTGGGAAACTAGAAGATACAAGATGAGTTCACCTCTCCTTCACAGTACAGTCAGCTGGCTGTGAGTTTGAACTCTGGGTGGTGTGAATAAGCTGAAGCGCCTCCTCCTGCAGCTGCAGAGGCACATCCGTCCTGATTATCATGAGCAGCCAACTGTGGTGAAGACACGGCGTTCCTGCTGCTGCAGCACAGCCTCCACCAGGACACACCTGACATTTACAGGTACAGCACACTGGACACAGGGCAGGATGAGCACTCCGCAAGGCCGCCAGTCTGTAATGATCTATGCAGCATATGCTGATCTCAACCAGAATAACAAAAAGATTAAATGTAGATTTTTGCCAAACGAGGTTTCTCTCTCTGCAGTGATAGTGGAGAAACGTGAGGTTAGCATACTGAGTCAGAAGAGTCACAACAATAATAAACAGGAAGTCAGTAATGTTAGTGTGTCAGCAGGTGGAGCTGCAGTAGCAGCACTTTAGTAGCACTCTAATTTGAATAGTTGAGTGACGCCCTCAGACTAACAACTAATTTGAACTCAAACACTTAAAAAACAAAACATTAAAAAATGTAGCCATTAAAACTGGAGAGCAAACGTGTAAATCAAAGGAACATTTTTGTGGGTAAATTGTCATCATGTTTTTCAATACAACCTGCTGAGACAACAGATGATTTTATTTTATCTTATAGTACAGTCCTGTGAAAAGGCACGTTTTAACAGGACTCTGTGCAGTCATGTGTAAAACTAAGCAAACATACTGCTTCCATTGGAAGCTTGTTACCATCTGGCAGACGTTACAGGAGTCTGTCTGCTCGGACTACAAGACTTAAAAACAGTTTTTACCACCT